TCAGGACCGTTTGAGGCATATGATAGCTATGTGATGAACATGATGATTCAGCCTCTATGGAGAGAGACATATGCCTGTCATGTTTATTGCTTACACAGGCTCTGAATCATCATGTTCATCACATAGCTATCATATGCCTCAAACGGTCCTGNTTTTTTTTTTTTTTTTTTTAACCTTTATTTAACCAGATAAAAGCATTGAGATAGAATCTCATTTGCAATGCTGACCTGGCCAAGAAGGCAACAACGTTACACATAACACAAACATAAAATACAGAGAACATAACTAAGAAAACAAAAGACAAATAGCAGTCACTACATTGAGCACATTAGGACAGTAAGAAAGGCACTACTTATTACTGAAGAGCAGCTGGTGGTAAGGACCTCAGACAACTTCAACTTAAAACATGCTATAGAGACAAGTGCCGTCAGTTTGAGGCGTGATTGAAGGTCACTCCAAGACCAAGGACCATAATAAAAAAGACTCCTTTTCCCAGCCTCAGTCCGCACAGCAGGAACCTGGACCCGTATCCAGGCACTGGGTCCGAGGTTGTAAGATTCACAAACTGGAGCAAATCTGACACATATGTAGAGGGGAAGCTTTCCTAAAATGGCTTTATACATTAATAAAAACCAATCTTACGCATACTAAGTGAGGACCATTCAGTTAGGCTATACAGTTTGCAATGATGAGTCCTATAGGGTGCAAAAAGCTATATTTTCTGGATAAAAACACATGTCACTGTCACAGGCAGGGCATGTAGCATCAGCGACAGATCTAGAAACACATGCCTTGCTCAAATCAGACCATGTTGGAGATAGCTGTCCCCACAGAGATGAGTCATTGAGGTTCACCTGGGTTTTGGGCTTTTAGGCATAGCAAGCCATCATGTAAAACAAATAGAAATCTCAGCCAGCAGGTTTGTGGACTCAATTATATGATAATCATCTTTTTACTGAAGCTGCTGCAGAAAGATTCTTATTTTGGATTAATTAAGATACAAAGAGAGAGAGTGATAAGGGCTCACCAGCAGCTTCCCCACAAACCGAAGAGTTTGACTGATCCAGATTCTGAATAAGTGTCCTGTTGGAAAATAACAGAGAGGACAAATCAGCAGCAGTACATAGTTTCACAGACGGCTTATGAACCTCCACATCAACCTACTGTTCCCCGCAAATGAAAACACGCAGAGACAAATCATTCAACAATGTCAGGGCGGACGCAGCAAAGGAGTAAGAGGCTAATTACAGCGCATGATTGATTTTCACAGTCGCTCCTAAAATTGGAAATGCACGACATTAATTAAAGCCAAGGTAATTTGTTCACCAAGTGTAACACAGTGTTAACTCCACGTGCAGCCTTTTGTGAATGTCATGTTTTTCGTTGAACTGCAGTGTCTTGATAATTAAAGCAAGTGTCATCACCTCCCTGTCAATGAATGTCAGTCACATCATGAAGTGTTTTTCTTTCCAGATTCATGCCTAAGATCAGCCAGTGCTCACACAGCGTTTACGAAAATGCTAAATCCATCCATCTTCTCCCGCTTATCCGTGGTCGGGTCGCGGAGGTAGCAGTTCCAGCAGAGAGCCCCAAACTTTCTTTTCCCTGGCCACATCAACCAGCTCTGACTGGGGGATCCCAAGGCGCTCCCAGGCCAGCGAAGAGATATAATCCCTCCATCTGGTTCTAGGTCTACCCCTTGGTCTCTTCCCAGCTGGACGTGCCTGGAACACCTCCTTAGGAAGGCGCCCAGGTGGCATCCTAACTAGGTGCCCGAACCACCTCAACTGGCTCCTTTCCACGCGAAGGAGGAGCGGCTCANCTTTTATCTGGTTAAATAAAGGTTAAAAAAAAAAAAAAAAAAGAAAAACTTAAAGATGAGAAGCAGAGTGTTTTATTTAGTGCTCTCATTCGATACAAAATTCTAATCGCATCACACCATCCTCCCAATCATTTTCTGTGATTAATCATTATTGATCACAAGTTTAAAATACTAGTATTATATATATTTCAACTCCATGTTGTTTTAATGCTTTAAAGTTTCCAGATTATTGCGAGCGTTAATGCTAAAACGTTGACAGCTCTTAATCACTAGCTGATATCTTGGAGAAATATATATTAAAAAAACAACTGAACAATTCGTACAGCTTATTGGTGATTGACGGTACAATAAACATTTACACTTGCATTAAGAAAGGATAAAGAATATATTAAAAAATCTAAATGTTTCCGTCCCTACAGCTCTGAAGCAGCGTCGCACTTCTCCCAGAGAGGTGCTGGTGGTGTCCAACACCTCCATCTTTCTCCCGTGCCCGGTGCGCTCCTTCCACGCTACGTACCGCTGGGAGAAAGACAACTGTGTCAAGAACTATCCCTGCCTCTTCTCCGGGGATTTCTGCGTGCTGGGTCCGGCTGTCAGAACGCCCCTGAAGGATGGCGTCTTCCGCTGCATGGCCACCGAAGACGGATTCAAGGTGGAGGTCATCTCCTTCAGGCTGGTGAACGACGGCAGGCTCCTGGCCGCCTCCCTGGCCTCCACCTTGGGCCCGTCGCTCCTGCTAGCCATGGCTACCCTGTGGCTCCATTAACTGCAGCTACCGCTAATGCTAACCCCTCATCCTTACTGGCTCCCAATGACAGGAATACAAGGAGCCTCTGTTAGGAGGTTAGGTTCGCAGAGCATTGAAGTACATGGTTGTGTTGGACCGTGAAAATCCTTTTTCCATATCAATTTATAGAGAAAGATTCCAGAAAAGTCTGTATTTTTTGCATAAAGCAACATATCAGCAGCTGTTTTAATAAGATCCGAACTGGGAAACACATTCATTATCATAGTAAAGTAACTAGAAGTTCAGAAATGGACATATCTTGCAAGTTCGATCAACCGTAGTTAGGTGCTTTGCGAACCTTTCCTCTCTGACTGAAAACATATCGTATGAGTTGGGCAAAAACACCAATACCAGGCCAATTATTTTTACCATTTCTCAACTTTATTTGAAATCGACTTGACTGTGCTTATTTGTGAATATATAAACCTTTAATACCGCTCTTAAATCTTATCATTCATCTTGTTAGACTTCATTGGTATAGCTCATTAGTACGTAGAAAAATGTCTGGTATTGAGATTTGAAAAGCCTTAACACTTCTTGGACATTAACTCCTAAGCACAATTTTGAGGCAGACTTGGCGCTATATGATTATTGCGGCTGAGTCGAACAACATCGCTGGGAGGAAGTGTCAGCTTTTTGACAGGAAGTAGAAAGATGGGCAAAAGCTCATTCTCGGATCATCACTGTGTCTCAGCACCTCCTTCTCAGACGAGGCAGTACCTCTCATCTTTTTATTCGATGGTATCAGACATCGTCATTAAGCCTTGTTCGCAGCTTTGCCCATTTTTAATTAAACACGACCCGGGGAGAGGGACAAATAGCTAACTGACGTCCAATATCTGTCAACCCGACAATTCATAAAGATGTGAACAAGGTTTTGTGCTATAGCAATTTCAATAAACACACATTAACATAAACATAAGGGCAGATGAAGCTAAAAGGAACTGCATATTAAGCTTGTATTTTATAGTTTGCTTGGAGAAAAAAAGCTTGTACTTAGATACGTGAAGTGTGTTCTGTATTTTATTGCTCTGCAGATGCTGATTTCTACCATTGCTGCCTACGTAAGTGACTCTTTGTCTTGATTGTTTGGGTTTAAATGCCATAGTTAGAACGTGAAGTGTAACCACCGACTGCTTTGCCTCTTTCCGCAGGGACATCAGTGCAAATAGACAGGAACATGGTTATTTTTGGTAATACTTGTATCTCTATGCTGTGAAACAAAAGGCTCGACAGACTCCAACAAGTTGCTTCCCTGATGAACAGCAGCATCCACAACCAGCGGCGACAACGATAGCTAGCATCACGCTACCTCTCCTTTAATAACTCAAACTTCATTAAGACCAAGAAGACAGTTGACGCTGAGTGTTTAGAAGAAATAAGATGTGAGTTAAGTAGCCCTAAAATCCTAAAAAGTAAACGTTGATTGAATACTGATCAGCTGACTGAAGAAGTAGGCTTCAGCGGTGATGAATTATGCAGCGGATTAGCATGTTCTCCAGAGCTTTGAGAATTATCATTCAGTAGTGTTACATAAATCTGGCCGTGCCGAGCCTTCCTCAGTGGCAGACATGTCATTAATAGCTAATTAGACAATGGAGCCTGCTCGCCATGCACCTTATTAAAGAATTGATGTTACACCGTCGAGCAGCGGGCATGTTCTCAGCTGTGAAAACCTCGAGGTGGTGTCGTGATTCTCTCTCAGCTCGGTTGTGTGTTGCTGCTCTGGGATCTGCTCGCTTTCTGTAATGCACTGAAACTGGCTTCTCACTGTGCCAATAAAAGACAAAAAGAAAAAACAAAGCTATGTTGAGCCACCGTATCCTCCCGACGTCGCTTCTTCTGTTCATTTGCTTTATCCCTCGCTCCTTACCTGCCGTTTTATCTTTTCCCCCAAGGTGACTCTGTGTATGTGTCGGTCCTTTCTTAAGCCAGACACACAAACCTTCTGTAGGTGCAACATGCATATTAATCATCTTTGTGTCACCACCGGGGAGGGAAAATATCAACAGCCAACGGCCACGAGCTCGTAAACATTTAGTAGAGGCTGTTAGAGAGGCTGTTAGACACCTTTGGCAGTAAAACAACTCAAGATGCATAGACATGCTCATTACATAGTCCTGTCAAACCTCCTTTATCCGTTAAAATAACTGCTGAGTAAGTGTCGTTGTGATTCAATAGCAAAGGCAAGCCACTTTGAGACGAGAGGAAAATTGCATCTAATGCCAACAAGGCATTGGTGGAAGTTCCAAGAAAGTATTAGTGCTGCAAAATGCATAGATTAACAGTGGGTGGATGATGGATGGGGTAGAAAGCATCTGACTTTGAGCTCATTCTCCTCCCCTAACCCTAATCCTAACCCTAACCCTCACCCTAACCAGCCTATAGCTGCATTCACATGAGACGGGGTAAATAGCTCTGCGCTGTTGTTGCATAGACATGCTCATTACATAGTCCTGTTAAACCTCCTTTATCTGTTAAAATAACTGCTGAGTAAGTGTCGTTGTGATTCAAACAGCGAACAGCTGTTCCACCCACTGGGACCCAGAATCCCTGATCTCTGAGGATTTTAGCCGAGGATCCCCTCAGCCTACAACCTGCCATAAACACACACACCTTCCAGAGTTGGTCCAAACACCAACACATTTGACCTTATGTCAAATAAAACACACACACACCCATCCACAGATCCTTAGGCCCTTGCAATTATTCTCAACCGAGAACCCAAAACCCCATTCCAACACAAAAACCTAACCCTCACCCTAACTCTCAACCTCACCCTAACCTCACCCTAACTCTCACCCTAACCAGCCTATAGCTGCATTCACATGAGACGGGGTAAATGGCTCTGCGCTGTTGTTGTTGCCGTTGTGTTTTGAATGGAGAAAGCAAAGCAGCCTGACTTTCGTAAACCTTCAGCGCTGTGCACGGCTCGAGTTCATATTACTCCAACTTTGACATAGTTACCGCTGACCTTACGACGCGCAACCACTCAGACGACAGCTTTGTCAACAACCCAAGTTAGCAGGGGACGTAACTATAGAAACAAAACTTATATGGCTGTTTTCATAGCATGGCGCCAAACCTAGCGGTGAGCAAATCACGTATAATGGGAATGCAGCTCAACCCTAAACATAAATGTGTTCTTTACTTCACCCTAACTACGTACTTTTAGTTGCCTAAACGTAAGTACACATCATTTTGCAGATGCATATTGTACAAAAGAGCATGTCTATGTTATTGTTGGTTGCAGGGTTTGTTTACAGATAGTTGTTGCTGTGCAGAGCTGATTGCATTTCTTCGTGAGGAGCGGCGCTGCAGGCAGGCAGGTGAAATCAGGCTTTCATCATCCCGCTCTTTCCTAAGTCATCACGCTCAACACCACAAGGCTTTGCTTCAGTATCAACACTTTTCCAGCTAATGCGTGGAATTAAGATTTATAGCATTTACAGCATTTACCAACAGTTGCCGGTTTTTTCAAATCTCCCCGTTCAAGTCCTTGCTTTGATACGGATATTCTCAAACTCGTTTTTTATCGGAATCCGGTTATCGCTCCTTCGCAACCGCCATCGTCAGCCAGTCCGATAAAAGCTAATCTCCTTCAAAGCAAGCTCTTGATTTGCCTTCAGGAAACCAATTTAATGGATCAAGCTATCTGCTGTAAACGAATCAACGTCGAGTGAAGCGGGTCGCTGTTTTGTTTGCTCTGGGGTTTTTGAGTGTCGAGTACTGTACATGATGTGTGCCCGCAATTATGTGTCTTGATATATCTTATTTTAAAGGAACATGCCAAACTCTATTATTGAAAAAAATGAGAGATTTATATTGGTGCCACGCCAGTCTAACGCCATCTCATTACATGTATTTTTAAAAAAACAGATATCTACAGTGCAATAGATATTCATGTAACAAATCCATAATGACATGTGTTTCCCTGAACATGTGCGGTGAAAATTAATAAAATATAACTACAAAAAAATGATTTACTGTGTTTATTTGAAGGAAACTAGTCTTATTTAACTTTTAATAGTAATGTATCAAGGTATTCAATTGCATTTGTAAGGAAATATTCAATGTATTGCAGTATATTAACGTGATGTATACAGCTTTTTGACAGGTGAATAATCCACTATATCCATTCAACTGTATGCCTTACATTCATTTTACAAATAAAGGGTATTAATTGTATTATAAGGGAAGTTGCTCTTTTAAAAAAATTAAATTATCCATGCAATGCAAAACATTAATACATTAAAATAAAAAAAATAAAATGTATTATTAATTTATTTTTCATAAATATAATAATAATANGAAGTTGCTCTTTTAAAAAAATTAAATTATCCATGCAATGCAAAACATTAATACATTAAACTAAAATGTATTATTAATTTATTTTGTATAAATATAATAATAATAATAATAATAATAATAAATAAATAATCCACTATATCCATTCAATTTACTGTATGACTTACAAGGGCATTCATTTTACAAATAAAGGGTATTAATTGTATTATAAGGGAAGTTGCTCTTTTAAAAAAATTAAATTATCCATGCAATGCAAAAC